CACACATGAGATAATGAATGTTTTCCAGACGTGAGATTACACAAACCATCTACATTTTGTTCCCCAGCAACTGGTGTGTGAGCAAGTTTAGATTTACTGTGGTCTGAAGGACACGAATGCCTCCAAATGTGGAGGCAAAAGTCTGGTTTTACCTGGTGATGGACGTGGTGTGTTTGGGGAACCGTCCGGTCTCTCTGTTGGGCAGAATGTGTGTTCGTGTTTCCAGAACTGTGTGTGAAAGACAGGCTGTCCCGAACACGCTGGCGCTGCTTCAGAGTTGGTGTGTATTCTGTATACTTCTGGGTGTGTATGGTTGAAGAAGCCCATGGTGTTCCAGTTGAGAGGACACAATGTGTGTTTTTCTCTGAAAAAGAGAGTGAGGACTGTTCTTGTAGATCCTGAAGATTTTGGGCTCTGAATCTTAATGGAATAGTTTCCTAAAATGAAAGTTTTCTCATAACTTACTAGAGCCAGACCGATATATCGGCAGACCGATATTAGGCATTTTCCAAACTATCGGTATCGGCAGTTATAATGGCCGATAAATGAATATTTTAAAAATAAAATAAAAACGGACGAAACACGCTTGAACCATGTCATGAGTGTTGGAGTTGTATAGTTTGTCCACCAGAGGGCACTCTACACCGTTCCTGTTGGCAACACTCGTTGAATTGGTCATGATACATGCATTGCTTGAATAACAATTAAAAGATCATCCCTATCAGTTCTCTTAACTCAAATAAGCATGACAAAATTTTTGACTAATCATCTCCAGTTTAAAAAAAATATATAAATAAATAAAATATCGCCGATATATCGGAATATCGGATTTTAAAACCCCAAAATATTTGTATCGGTATCAGCCTTCAAAATCCTTTATCGGTCGGGCTCTATAACTTACTCAAGTTGTTCCTGTATGGTTTACTGTGGAGTAGAGCCAGACCGATATATCGGCCAATATTAGGCATTTTCCAAAATATCGGTATCGGCAGTCATAATGGCCGATAAATGGATATTTAAAAAATAAAATAAAAACGGACGAAACACGCTTCAATCATCTCTCCTTGGGCTGTTATATTGAAAATGTATGTTTTACAATTTGCAGTATGATGTTATCTATTGTTAAATTATGGCTCATCATAGACTAGCTAACCACAAAGCTAGCTAATGCCGCTATCATCAGTGGAAGACCGCTAACGTTAACATTAATGAGCTTGGAAACCACAATGAACTTTTTCTGCCTAAATAAAGTAATTATTACTGTATTTATAACTAGCATATCTCTAGTTACAGTCCCTGCATTGTAAAATGTAAGTTATACCTGCGAGGAGTGAACATTTAGACATAGAGAAAAAGTATCAAACGTATCTTGTGCAGTAAAGTTAGCTTTTCTTTTACACGTGTGTGAAATCCAACGATATTTAATGAAAAAAAATATCGGCCGATATATCGGATTTTAAAACCCAAAAATATTTGTATCGGTATCGGCCTTCAAAATCCTTTATCGGTCGGGCTCTACTGTGGAATTAGGAAGTGAACGAGGAGTGCCTAGTGCCCTGAAACAAGTGACTTGTGTGGTAATCTAGTGTAGGGTGACAGATTTACTCATCACAGAAAACTATACACAGATGTTTTGCATATTGATCAGTCTATTGCTGTAGTGTCATGAAATACAATAGTGATTGTGTCAGTTCCGGCTGATCGTCATTTTTCAATTTCATTCATCATGGGTTTGGATTGAGCAATTGATGACCGAATCTTAATTCCTGGATGAAGTAAACCATTTACCTTGTTTACACAATGGGCTTAAATTTGGCACGGACTGCTCTCAGACCCTCTCAGACGTCATTTTGTGTGTGTGTGTGAGTGTCTGCTTCATGCATACAGGTTTGTTTCGCTGAGTCAGTTCAGTAGGTCAGTGATAAGCATCTTCCTCCCTCTTTCTCTTGCGCACACATGCATGTGAACTTAACTCTGGGCCTGGTTTTGTTTCTCATGCATTTAGATCAGATTTTATGTCTGTTGGCATGATTTCAAAGATAGTAGGACATTGTGTGAGCATGATTCTTTCTTTTCTGTGCCATATGACTGTTTTGGCAGCTCACTTTGTGCTTTAAGATGGCTCTCACTGAGAAATATCCTGGTCGTATTTCAAAAATCACAAGAAAAAAAATCAATATTGTTTAGTTTAAAGGCCTTTTTGTTCATTACTTAATTACATTTAGTCATCATTAATTTTGTGTTGCTAATATTCACATTATCGCAGAAGTACTGGGGTAAAAGTTTATATAACACTGATGTCTACAGGATGAAAATCGAGTATATTTCCTTTTGTAAGTTACTCGACGCTTCAAATACACTGTAAAAATGAATGCGCTTTATCTAATCAAAAAAAAATGTGGCAACAGATTACAAGCAATATTATTAATTCAGTTTAACAATAGAATTTAGTAACAGTTAATCAAATTAATTCAAAAGTTAACCATTTAAAATGAGTAAAATGTACAAACCCCACTCCCCAAAAAAACGTATTTAAGTCACCATTAAGGCTTGTTTTAAAATTACGGTTTTCTCCTTCAGTGGCTTTTTAACAACAGGTGTAAACTTTACTCATTTTAAATGGTTAATTTTTGATTAATGATTACTCAATTTAATCAATAATATTGCTTGTAATCTGTTGCCACAATTTTATTGATTAGATAAAGCATATTCATTTTTTACAGTGTAACAATTAACAAAACACCGACGACAAGTGACTGTTATGCATGTATTTGCCATTGAGTCATTCAGTCAGAGCTTCGTTCATCCAGTAATGAAACAAGTATTTATGAGTAAGTCATTGAATCATTTATTCAAATTAATAAAACATTTCAAATAGGTCTGGATTTTGTCAGGGCCTCTAGTAAATCACGTGTTATTTAGTTTATTTTGTTTCTCAATTTATCCAGAATTGTCCAGCTCTAATTATTTGGTAAATTTAAACTGACCAATAAAATATCACATCACAGATTTTATTTCTTTCAGATTGTTTTGGCTCGGTGTGCTCATGTTTAGTCTACTAATGCCATGTTTTGGAGGCTTGTTAATGCTCACGAATGGCCTCTTGCTGTTTAATTGTGTTTTGTGTGTATGTATTGTTGCGTTTGTTGAGATCTTCTCTCTGCTCGGCCTCCTATGATGTGCTCTGGACTTCCAGTGTTTAGTCTACCGCCCGTCTGTCCGCCACGTTCGCTTGTGAGTGTTTCTTTCAGGCCTCAGTCCACCCATCCTGCCAGAGCGCCATGTCCTTCTGGTGTACGTCTGAGATTAGCTCTCAAAACTCTCGGCTGTGTTGATATTAAGTGCGTCGGGCAGTTTCGGTCTAGTGCACTCTGCAGTTGTCTGGGTCTTTGACCTTTATTGGTATGTTTGAGAGAGAGAGGGGGTTCGTTTCATCACTTCTCTCACTCCTCGTTGTTATATCAAATGATAATAATTTGTGGTGTCTCATATTTGACCTCTCAGGAACCTAAAAACTTCTGGCTTTCCATTTGTTACACGGTAGGGGGCGCTGTTACACATTTACACTATTAGAGTAGAGAATCTCCGGATCAAAACACAAGAGAAGAAGACGCAAAAAAAAGCGATAGAACATGTAAAATAACACGATTATCAAACATTAAGCGGCATGCAAATTAGAGCCAGGCCGATATATCGGTAGACCGATATTATCGGCCGATATTAGGCATTTTCCAAACTATCGGTATCGGCAGTTATAATGGCCGATAAATGAATATTTTAAAAATAAAATAAAAACGGACGAAACACGCTTGAACCATGTCATGAGTGTTGGAGTTGTATAGTTTGTCCACCAGAGGGCACTCTACACCGTTCCTGTTGGCAACACTCGTTGAGTTGGTCACGATACATACATTGCTTGAATAACAACTAAAAGAACATTCCCATCAGTTCTCTTAACTCAAATAAGCATGACAAAATTTGTGACTATCATGTCCAGTTTCAAATAAAAAAAATAAAATATCGGCCGATATATCGGAATATCGGATTTTTAACCCAAAAATATTAGTATCGGTATCGGCCTTCAAAATCCTTTATCGGTCGGGCTCTAATGTAAATCAAAACTGTCGAATGTAACTGAATGAAATGTCGACTCAGGACGAGCAACAGGACTCATCGTTCTGAATCCCGCCCAAAAGCACGATTTTCTCAGTTTTTTGCTTGAAATATTGCTTTTTTTATGAAACAACTTGTCCATATTCAACGTCGAGTCACTGTTAAACCAATTGGATAACCGTTGAATTTTGAGGTTGTAGCCTTCAAATAATGTTGATTTGACGTACAACTCAAAAACTGTTGATATTTCTACATCGTGAGTTAACAAAACCACTTCAACTATTTTATTAAACAGACAAATAGACATTATTTCAACAACATTTAAACGTTTAATGTCAGTCGAGGGCCATGAAAATGCTAAAAAATGCTGCTGGTGGCTAGCATCATTTTTTTATTTTTAAACGGTGGTTTTGTTATGTGTGTGACTAGCTTTGAGAAGACGCAATTTTGGGTTTTGCAAATGTTTTGACCATTAAAAAGGGCCTCTTATTCTTCCACTGGGAGAATTGGGTCTGCATGTGGGTTGGCCATTATTGGAACTACTTTAGCCCAGACATTTCACCTTTGACCCCAAATCCTCTTTGTGTTGAAGAGTAAGTGTAATCGATGAGGGCATGGGTGACCTAAAAAGCCGGTCAGTCGGGGGGTCACCGCTCCTCCCCCATCCGTCTGGAGGACAATCCCACCCCTTATTTTTCAGTATTTGAAGACCACAAAGACCAAGGGAGAGTTTTCCAATAAGCCCAAGGTATTTTGTGGAAATTAAATTAGGCGTAAGACGTTGTTTTTCTTCGAAGGGCTAGGAAGTTCATGGTTTAAGGACAGATTATTATTAGCTGTTGGGATGTTTGTATGTTGACATGTGTTCACTTTTGTTTCACGCACAGCGGTCGAGTGTTTACGTTGGACTTCAGTGCCATGCGAGTGTGTGACCTGGAGTTTGACCTCGTCAGGCGTTTGTCCACGCCCCCTAGCAACGAAACCACGCCCACAACCACAAGCCCCACCCCTGACTGCCTGTCCGTGTGGAAGTACTACTGTAGAGATAACTTCGGCTGGAGGGAATATTCAGAGGTGAGACGCCTATCTGATCCATTCTTTAAATAAGCAAATATACATGTACAAATTTGGGCTCTGAAAGAATTAATTAATACTTTTATTCAGCAAGGATGCAGGGATAGTTCACCCAAAATGTTTTATTCTGTCATTTTTTACTTGCCCTCAAGTTGTTCCAATCTTGTATGAACACAAAAGAAGATATTTTGAAGAATGTAGGAAACCAAACAGTTGGACCCCATTGACTTCCATTGTATTTTCTTTCCATGCCATGAAAGTCAATAGGGTCCAAGGTTTCATGGTATCATGGTTTCCATAAAAATGATTGTTGATTGTCAACATTGATAATAAGAAGCACCAAATCTTGATTTCCTTCCTTGACACTGAAGACTGGATTAATGGTTTCTACAAATTCAGCTTTGCATCACTGAACTCTTAAAATATATAAAAATAGCAAACAGTTATATTAAAGGACTAGTTCACTTTTAACAAAAAACTTTGCTGATAATTTACTCACCCCCATGTCATCCATGTTGTCCACGTCTTTCTTTCTTCAGTCGAAAAGAAATTAAGGTTTTTGATGAAAACATTCCAGGATTTTCTCCATATAATGGACTTCAATGGGGACCAAATGGTTCAAGTTCCAAAAGACAGCTTTAAACGACACCAGACGATGAATAAGGGTCTTATCTAGGACCCTTCGAGTCATGACTCAAAAAATGATTTGTTCATTTTGATAAACAAGTTCGAACAGGAGAGTCACGAACGCTAATCACAGAACAGAGCAAGGCGAGCATTTGTGCTTATAAAACTTAAACTTGTATTTATTTTTTAAATGAGCGATCGTTTAGCTAGATAAGACCCTTATTCATCGTCTGGAATCATTTAAAGCCCTTTGAAGCTGCACTGAAACTCTCATTTGTACCTTGAACTGTTTGGACCCCATTGAAGTCCATTATATGGAGAAAATCCTGGAATGTTTTCATCAAAAAGCTTAATTTCTTTTCGACTGAAGAAAGAAAAACATGGACATCTTGGATGACATGGGGGTGAGTAAATTATCAGCAAAAGTTTTTTTTAAAGTGAACTACTCCTTTAAATTATAATAATATTTCACAATATTACTGTTTTGAGAAGGTTTCTTTCAAAAAAGTTTTTTTGAAAATCCTATCGATCCCATACTTGTGTAGGATAGTGTGTAATTCTTGATTTTGGGTGTGTGTGTGTGTGGTTGGCTCAGTGAATGTACGTGCGGTGTTGTGTGTGTGCGCCTCAAGTCGAGCTGGCTCGCACACGCACCAGAGAAGACGTCCTGTTCTATTCACAAGCGCCTGAAATCAGAACATTGCATAAGCGTTCCTTTGGTAACAAAGCTTTTTATTTCCTGTGAAAATCTCCTATGATGGATACATTCTGACCAGTGCTCCGGATGAATCGTGTGGGAGTCGGAGCGCATTTAAGTGTGCTGTTGTTCTCATTTCCTCTCTCTTTCTCCATCTCACAGCCGGTGGTTCGGTTGATCGAGGAGGCGAGCGGTCGAGGTCTGAAGGAGGTCCGCTTCATCACGCTGCAGAATCAGTACATCCTGAACATTCACGAGGGCTTCCAGCAAAATGCTGTTTTCGGTTTCCGCCGGCAGATCAAAAAACGCCCGCTGTTCCGGTCCTCCATCATGCTCACGCCTTACCTCCAGTGAGTATCTGCGTGTCTTGTTAGACACCCCTGAATGTCCCATTACAACCAATTGTCCTTCAAAAAGTCCTCTGGATACACTCCAAAGTGGTCTGAGAACACATAGCAGACTCATTTTAATTGCTTGAAGAGCTGAAACATAATATTCATACTTACCTAAAGCTAGAACATGGACTGGTCCATCATAACTCTCATGAGGAGAGAATCGTCTGTTATCAACTGCAGGGCTTATTTACAGTGACAAAGACGAAACCGAACACAGGAGAGAAGGAAGATTTAGTGGTTTTCTGACCAGTCTGGCTCTGTGGAAGAGAGTTTAACCTGACCATATGAAAGTCCAATTTCTGACTAGCTGAGGCGGCTTTCATCATTTACATCTACTAAGTCACTCGGGCCTGTGAAGGGTCAGAGAATTATGGATATTTCTTTTTTTCCATAAAGCTAAATGAAGGCGAACAGCAGTTTTGAATCTTTTCTCTCGTTTTTACTCTTTCTTTCTCAATAGATTCAATGTGTCCAACCGTAGCCTCCGCCACGAGCATTATTGGATCGGGGCTGAGCGAGATATTATTTTAGTGTATTTTTGACAATATTCAGTGTATATCCGGATATGTTTTTTCTATAATCCAACCAAGTAGTTTAAAAATAAATATATATTTCCATATTGCTAAACATAACTATGAATAGCGATATATATGTAAATTTAAAAATTAGTATCCATCAAATTTACTGATATACCTTTAAAAAAATTTTTTGCTGTTCTTGTTTACTAATACTTTTATTCAGCAAGGACAATTTACAACATTTACAATGTCAAAGAAATCATCAAAGAAAATATTAATAATTAACATTAATAATAATCGGAAATGTTTGCTGCATTTCTGAAGAATGATGCTGAAAATTCAGCTTTGATCACAGGAATAAAATACATTTTACAATATATATTCACATAGAAAACAGCTATTTGTAATTCTGATAATATTTCACTGTTTTACAGTATTTTTGATCAAATAAATGCAGCCTTGAGCAGAAGAGGTTTTTAAAAACGTATAAAATATAATCAAATCAAATAAACTCACCATCCCTTTTTTTTTGCCACTGATGTTTAAATCAGACACACTATCCATCTTAACGCTCTCACACTTGCAGAGAACGAGAGAATGTCATCTAAATGGTCCTGCAGCGTCAGGAACACACTGTCCTGAGCGCAGGGGTGCAACTCATTAGTGTGATTGACAATTTGGCCAAACTGCCGAGTTAATGCTCAGCAAGCAGCATAAATCTCCCTCTCGTTCTCACACGCACTGACTCTCTTTACAAACAGATCCTTTCTCAGAAGAATTTGCTTATCTCTTCAATAAGATTGCCCTCGCTTCTTTCCATTCACGTTTACACAATGCCTCTCCACACTATATGGTTGTTGTATTGAACTCCTGCAGTTCTTGCACCAGGAAGCGAGTCGAGAGAGGAAGGGAGCGCAAGATAAAGTTAGCGGATGACTCATAAGGTAGTCACACTGACTAGAGGGATAACGTTCACCTGCTAGATAACAAGTGTCATGTTGAGTCACAGGACTGAGCCTTGACCTCCATTTAACACACTCTGAGTTTAAATTGAACTTTTCCCCGTTTATCTCTCGTGAGGCCATTAGTTTCACAGTTCAACTGCATCATTTAGGGCCAGATTTACGAACTGCTTTCGCCAGCGCAAACCCTCATTTAGCATTAGGCAAGTTTATTTATACAGCACATTTTATATACCATGGTAATTCAAAGTAAGTAAGGAAAATTAAAACGGTTCTAAAAAGAATTAAAAGAGTAAAAAGATCATATTTCATATTCATACGATCCTTTCATAAAATTACATTACAAAACTACTGTCAGGATTTACTAAAAACACAATGAAATTGTGTCTGACCTTATTATTGCACATGCATTTGTAGGAGTTTTCCTTTCATAAGAAACATTTATGAGAGGAGAGTATTTAAATAAATCATGCAAGGTGATTTGCTAAGGTTTGCGCTTATCAATTTACTAGTATTTGCACCATTGTTTATTTGCACCATTAAGTCAATTTACTAGTAATTGCACTATTATTTAGGTCAATTTACTAGTAATTGCACCATTATTTATTTGCACCATCATTTAAGTCAATTTACTAGTATTTGCACCATTATTTAGGTCAATTTACTAGTGTTTGCATCTTTATTTTAGTCAATTTACTAGTAATTGCACCATTAGTTATTTGCACCATCATTTAAGTCAATTTACTAGTGTTTGCACCATTATTTAGGTCAATTTACTAGTGTTTGCACCATTATTTAAGTCAATTTACTAGTATTTGCACCATTATTTATTTGCACCATCATTTAAGTCAATTTACTAGTATTTGCACCATTAGTTATTTGCACCATCATTTAAGTCAATTTACTAGTGTTTGCACCATTATTTAGGTCAATTTACTAGTGTTTGCACAATTATTTAAGTCAATTTACTAGTATTTGCACCATTATTTATTTGCACCATCATTTAAGTCAATTTACTAGTGTTTGCACCATTATTTAGGTCAATTTACTAGTGTTTGCACCATTATTTAGGTCAATTTACTAGTGTTTGCACAATTATTTAAGTCAATTTACTAGTATTTGCACCATTATTTATTTGCACCATCATTTAAGTCAATTTACTAGTGTTTGCACCATTATTTAGGTCAATTTACTAGTGTTTGCACAATTATTTAAGTCAATTTACTAGTATTTGCACCTTTAGTTATTTGCACCATCATTTAAGTCAATTTACTAGTGTTTGCACCATTATTTAGGTCAATTTACTAGTATTTGCACCATTATTTATTTGCACCATTATTTAACTCACTTTACTAGTATTTGCACCATTATTTAAGTCAATTTACTAGTATTTGCACCATTATTTAACTCACTTTACTAGTATTTGCACCATTAAGTCACTTTACTATTATTTGCACCATTATTTAAGTCGCTTTATTTGCACCATTATTTAAGTCACTTTATTTGCACCATTATTTAACGCCCCAAAAAAGCATGTCTTAATTTGCCCTGCTATATTGTGTTGGTAATTATGGAAACAATCCGGTTGCGTCTGTGTTCATTAATGTGCATGTCGTCACTAGATCACGTGCAGAACTTTCCACTCCCGTTGGTGCTTTTTTAGAATTGCTCCCTCACGTTAACTTGCCCTGTATAGTAAATCTTTCCCTTAATCTCTTTATGACCCCATGTTTTCCTCTCTTCGTTAGGACTCTCGGTGGCCTTTCCTCAACATTTCTCTCCTCCCTGGAAAGTTCTGGAAACCAGCCTCTCTCTCCGACGTCAAGCACTCCCTCCAAATTGTACCCTGAGACTTGGTTACCCATGAACACCAGTCAGGACTACCTGCAGGTGCCCGTGTCCCGGGATGACCGCAGCTACCGGACCGTTTACAGCCTCTTCCACAAGACCGTGTCTGAGACCAAGTTCCGCATCCTGAAGATTCTCCGTGTCCAAAACCCCTTCCTATGGGAGAAGTACAAAAGGTGTGTCTCAAATAATCCTTTGTGCAAAGTTGTTTAGACTGTGTATGCATGGCCAACGCAGTGTTTAGTAAACACTGAGATTACAGACTGGTTGAAGACAGACAATAAAAGGTTATCTTGGCAGATCTGTGTTTCAGAAACGTCTGTAAAGTGAATTTTCTTCCCCACCCCTGCACAAGTCTTTGAGGCTTTGACGTTTGCATTCACAATGCTAGGTGTCAACCGCGCTAACGGTTCTTACTAAGTTTTTGTTGGTCGGAAACAGCTGTGTTTTTGTGGTAGATCCATGAGGTGAACTTCTCAGTGTGTGAGCATGTAGAGAGGAAAGGGTGCTAGTGGTGAAGCCTTGTTGTATTTTAACAAGATATTGTCATGGAAATACGGTTTGGTCCCTCTCAGCTGCGGACGCTAGGTCACAGAAAAGGGATGAGTCAGGAAAAGAGAGTTACTGCTGACTCGTCTGAAGCACGCGACCGATTAGATTAATCCTTGCATATTTCAGTGTGTCTAGTAATGCATTGCTGGAGTGATTGCTCTCTTTGAATGCACAGTGGACATAAATATGATAACATTTTTTTACATTTTTAAAAATAACTAAAGGTTATACTAGGTTAACATACGAAAAAAGAAAGGGACACAATACAAACACAGATGGTCCTCACTGCAGAACACGAAATCCAGGGGGAGTAGTTGGATCCAAATTACCTACCTAATCCTACCCATCTCCACCCCCTGATCCCTAACCCCACCCCTAATCCTACCCATCTCCACCCCTGATCCCTAACACCACCCCTAATCTTACCCATCTCCACCCCCTGATCCCTAAACCCACCCATCTCCACCCCCTGATCCCTAACCCCACCCCTAATCCTACCCATCTCCACCCCCTGATCCCTAAACCCCACCCTAAACCTACCCATCTCCACCCCCTGATCGCTAACCCCACCTATCTCCGCCCTTGATCCCTAACCCCACCCCTAAACCTACCCATCTCCACCCCCTGATCCCTAATCCTACCCATCTCCACCCTTGATCCCTAACCCCACCCCTACCCATCTCCACCCCCTGATCGCTAACCCCACCCCTAAACCTACCCATCTCCGCACCCTGATCCCTAACCCCACCTATCTCTGCCCTTGATCCCTAACCCCACCCCTAAACCTACCAATCTCCACCCCTTAGATCTGGATCCAACTCCGCCCCCTGGATCTTGTGTACTGCAATGAGGTGCTACTATACAAACATGCGCACATACAAATAAGTATAATAAAACAGTAACATTATCAAATTCTGTAAAAACATATATTTATTTATTAAAAACCCTAAAAATAGTCTTTTATTCTAGCTAAGGACACTAGGTAATAGACTTATCAATATGCAAAACATCCATGTATAGTTTTTCTTGGCTTTTCTGGGATGAGTAAATCTGAAATGCCATACATGGCTGGGAGCAGCTGAATATACAGGTGTGGTTATCTTATTTACGTGCTACTACGTGTCTCAAACAAAACTCTTGAATATCATTCAAAGATTCAATGCAATGAACCTCTCATAGTCCAGCAATTAGTTGCTCCTGGCAAGCAAGCACCCATTGTAGTAGCCTGGGAAAGAGAGCTGGAGGAATAAAGGTTGGTGTGTTCATTCATATGCCTGTGCAGGTGAGGATCTTTTGTACAATAGTCTGAGTGTTTCCAGGGTGTTGGCCAGCGAGAGAATGTCACTGGGTAAGCAGCATGAAAGCGGATTTGTTTGCATCAGTAATAGAAAGAACAAATCAGACTGATGGCAGTGGCTCGGTGTAAAAGAGCTTTAGGGAGATGAAAGGGGAAGCTGAAACAACACGAGTGATGTCTTCACTGACGCATACGGAGCCGCTGCTCCCCATGAGCGTGTCAGTCGGTGTCCGTAGGGTCACATGAGGTCAGTAAGTGATCAGAGAGTTTCTCTCAGCCAGGCTGACCTCGCGTCCCCTCGGCACACAACAATAGAGCCACAGACTCGGGCTAATGCTGACTGGGTTCACTCGAGTCCCTGGCGCTCATCTGTTCACTCAGCCTCTCTCACTTCTCTGTTTCCATTTGACCAGATGACAGGCTGAGAACTCAAGTTGAGCTTGTGTTCTTGTTTTTGTGTGCGAGGAGGACAGAAACTTGTATTTTTAAATAGTTTTAATGCTGTAACTGTTGACATCAGGGTTCACAAATTTACGTAAGTCAACCTAGCCATGAAGTTGTATAGGGAAAGGAATAGGATATGTTTCCCCTTGCGTAATTATCAACACTGTTAAATCAATGCCATCTTTAGTAAATTTTTAAAATATCAATTTTCATATTATGCATTATAATTATTGTCGGCTGTCGGCTTATCGGTATCAATTAGAATTTTTGACGGAATTTCTGTCTTTCTGTGTTTTCACTGTTACACGGTAGGGGGCGCTGTTACGTATCTTCTGAAAGAGTAGAGAGTCTCCAGATCAAAACACATGTGAAAAAAAGCAGAAACAAGCGATAGAATAAGTAAGCATCTATGTAAAATAACACGCTAATTCAATTCAATTCAAATTTATTTCTATAGCGCTTTTCCCAAAGTAGCTCAAATAGTAGAGTGCCAACGTCATGGATTTGATTCCCAGGAAAAGCAAGAACTGATGAGAATGTAAATGTGTAGCTTGCAATGCTTTGAATAAAAGCGTCTGCCAAATGCATAAATGTAAATGTATATTGTTTCAAAGCAGATTTACAGAAAGTGCATTTCAGAAATGTACATTAATTTAGGGCATTACATATCTCATATCTCGAGTAGGGAGGCCGGATACAAACTTGAGCTGACGAGTGCTATTTACCTTGTGACTGGCGTCAGGTAACAGCAAAAAAGCAGATGCGAAATAATTAGCACAGCAGCTGTTCATAATATTCATGCATTCGATCTGATTCAACAGTGGTATAAAAGGTGAGCATCATGTGAATGCTTGGCTAAAGAGATGCGTCTTTAATCTAGTTTTAAACTGGGATAGCCTCGAACAATATCAGGAAGGCTATTCCAGAGTTCAGGAGCTAAACGTGAGAACGCCCTCCCTCCTTTAGTGGACGTAGATATCCTAGGAATGACCAGAAGCCTCTTAAAGATTGTCGGGCGATAGAAGGCTCATTAAATACACAGGAGCTAAACCATTTAGGGTTTTATAGGTCAGTAGTAATACTTCGTAATTGATACAGAACTTAATATGTAATCAGTGTAGAGATGATAAAATTGGTGTTATATGATCAGATTTTTTTGACCTAGTAAGAACTCAAGCAGCAACCAGCTAATAAGGTCATCAACATTAAATCGCAAACTGCCTAATGTTACTGAATGAAATCTTGGACTGTGAAGCTTTGAGTGCGTTCATGGACTCGTCCTGAATCCCATCCAGATTGATAAAAAAGGAATATATGAGGCTAGAATAAATTAAAAGTAGAGGATCTCCTCTTTCCTTTGATATATTTCATGTCCAGATATTCACACAAAATATGAAACTTTTGTGAAAATGATCAACTACTTTCTTTGGAAAGATGCATTCTTACAATTGAATGAAAACCATGTATTATGTTGCAGCTCTTAACAAACTGGTTTGAATCCCAATCTTTGTCCGTTCCGTCTTATAATCGATGTTTAATTGAAATGTGTTTCTCATTCTCTTCGTAGGAAGAAGGAGTACATGTCACGTCGCATGTCTGAGATGGACCGCATGCTGAACGAACGTCACCTGTTCCACGGCACGTCCCAGGATGTGGTGGACGGCATCTGTAAGCACAACTTTGACCCGCGCGTGTGCGGAAAGCACGCCACCATGTTCGGCCAAGGCAGCTACTTTGCGCGCAAGGCTGTCTATTCCCACAACTTCTCCAAGCGCTCGCCCCGCGGTGTGCACTACATGTTCCTGGGCAAGGTGTTGACGGGCAAGTTCACCGTGGGCAACCCTTCCATGCGCCGCCCACCCCCTCTGAATCCAAGAGACGCCTCCAGCGACCTATTTGACTCCTGCGTGGACAACTGGATGGACCCACAGATCTTTGTCATCTTCAATGATGATCAGAGTTATCCGTACTTCATCATTCAGTATGAAGAGGTGAGCAATACAGTGGCTATTTGAAGAGCGCTGCACATCTGGATACCTGCACACGAGACTTGAGACTTGTGCGCACGTTCGGCCAGTTCGAAAGGAGACGGAAGTGGTTGTGCGCCGGCACTCTGAATGGAAATCATGGATCATATGGGATGCATTTGGATATGGTTCCCACCCTCAATCCCGTGTGAGGGTTTCTGTGTGACCTTTCAGTGCCCATCTTCTCATACCCCTGTGAATACAAATGGGGATTGTGTGTATGTGTGTGTGTGTGGACGAGTGTCTCTGCTATGGCTTTTTTGGCTGACCATGGATTGGGACGCGCTTTAGTAAGAGGCCCGTCGATTGCTTGCCAGTCGGACTCGGAAGCTGTCGCCGCAGCTTCGCATTCTTATAATTTTTTCCCAAAAGACTCACCGTTTCCCATTGCTGCCATTCACGTTCCATACTTGCTATTCGTTCGAAGTTGTAAATATGTTCTCCTTGTTTATATTTGAACTGTGTGCCTTTTGTTCATAAATAAATTGTTTATTTATGTTAGTCAATGTAACAAGTAAATAAAAACAATTTAAAGAGAATGTAACCGATGTGAAGTTGGTGTTTGTTCGCTTGTTCAGTTTTAAAGGAGAACTCCGGCGCAAAATGAACCTTTGGTCGAATAAAACATCGGTACCTAGTCGACCGTTCTCTGAGATTTGTTTTCATGATTATCGAATGTAAAGAGTTTTATCTCTAAAAACGGTTTAGCGTATAATGCTAGTAATAGGGGCATATAGTAAGTAAAAAGAAATCGCTAGTTTATACCACTAGCAAGGCTCAAAATAGCCCCACACTAACACAGTAACATAATGAGGGTCCATACATGCAAAACGAAGCATTGAGAACACTCTCGATAAGTCGAACCACGAACGCCGTTCATACAGTTCAGCTCACTCAGCACGTTGTTCGTGGTTCGACTTGTCGTGACTGTTTCCCAAAGATAGCTCCTGCCTGTATACGCGAATTGAACTGTCTTTATAAAATATCTTCTTAAGTTCTCAATGCTTCGTTTTGCATGTTATGTTACTGTGTTAGTGTGGGGCTATTTTGCAGCCTTGTTTGTGGTATAAACTAGCGATTTCTTTTTACTTAGTATATGCCCCCATTACTAGCATTATACGCTAAACAATTTTTAGAGATAAAACTAGGTACCGATGTTTTGTTAGACCAAAGGTTCATTTTGCACCGGAGTTCTCCTCTAACAATTGACCAAATTTTCCTCTGACCTTTCCAATCATAACCGGTGGTTATCTAACAATTCCCATGACGTCGCTGCATGGGCGGAGCCAACGTGAAAATGAAAATAGAGACCGATCCTTTGTCCATCTAGTCGAGTTGAAAACACAATATTGACGGCATTCAGAGGGAAAAGTCTGTGCTAGACTAAGCTGGTCTCTTCATCAGAGAAGTGAAAGGGAATTAAGTCAGACACTACTAAAATGCTAACATTTCACGGCAGGGATTTAAAGGGTTAGTTCACCCAAAAATGAAAATTCTGTCAGTATTTACTCACCCTCATGTTGTTCCAACCCCGTAAGACCTTCGTTCATCTTCGCAACACAAATTAAGATATTTAAGATATTAAGATCGCTCCTGCATACTAGTCCATAGGCTTCTTGAGGGAATGACTCTTGATGGCCTCGAAAAGTCATTAAAGACATCGTTAAAATAGTCCAAGTGACTACAGTGGCTCATTTTTAACTTTATCAAACGACGAGAATACTTTTTGTGCGCAAAAACAAACAAAAATAACGACTTTATTTCAACTATTCACTTCCTTCTCCGTGGGCCTGTAGTCAGTTAACGTAGTGTGATTGCGTAAAGCTACGTCACACGTAGGCTCACTATTGGCCGACGCTGGTCATGTGTGTGATGCGTGTGACGTACAATAACAGAAGCTTACGCTATTAAACTAGTAACCTGACTCGAGGCAGAGAGAGAAATAAACGAATAGTTAAAATAAAGTCGTTATTTTTGTTGTTTTTGCGCACAAAAAGTGTTCTCGTCGTTTGATCAACTTAAGATTGAGCCCCTGTAGTCACTTGGATTATTTTAACGATGTCCTTTAATGACTTTTCAAGGCCAGCAAGTCATTCCCTCAAGAAGCCTATGGACTAGTATGCAGGAGCGATCTTAATATCTTAAATATCTTAATTTGTGTTGCGAAGATGAACGAAGGTCTTACGGGGTTGGAACAACATGAGGGTGAGTAAATACTGACAGAATTTTCATTTTTTGGGTGAACTAACCCTTTAACTGTTACAGAATGGTTGACTCCTATCAATAAACACTGGAATTAGATTTGATTGTTCTTTAAGCTTGTTCTCTCTTGCCCTTTCTCTCCAGAGGACACTGGGTTCCTAAGCTTCATGCTAAATGAATCCCAGGGTACTAGAAAGAAAGGAGCCGGCCAGATCACATGCGACCCAACCCCTACTCCTTTCGTTTCTCACTCTGAGCTACTTGTGTCATCATGATGAGTCATTTCGATTGAATTGAGTCACAGCGCATCATCGGTTTGCTCTGGAGCCTGTACAAAATCCAGGTGCTGTTTGTTTTTCCATTTTGCTCCTATCGTGTTGTGTCCTGGGGGCTGGAACAACTGAAGTGGATTGGGGGGAAACGGACAGAGACTGATCTCCCTTCAAGGGAAGGCTCTGATAACAACCTGCTGTGATGCGACCCTGTAAACAGGAATTGGCAGTCTTTCTCTCTCCCCACTAACCGTTCCCTTTCTCCCCGCTCCCCCTTGACCTTTCTCCCTGTGTTTCTAAAGGCGAGAGCTGCAATCAAAGACGAGCCCTAGGGCAGAGCTTTTGAATAACTTACCAGAGGATGACAAGAAGCAGTCGCTCTCCCTCATTAAATAATTGCTAAATCTCACATATTTGTTTAAGGTGTGCCTGGAAGAGACAGGCAAAGAATGCACGTGATTTCAGATGTTTGACTTCTTATGTTGCTTTGAAATACTTGTTTGCTTCTTCGGCTCGGGGGAACCAGAACGAGCTCTACGATGCGTGAATCCCCGTATTTCCTGCTCAACCCAGTTCCATATTGCTCCAATGACGCCCAGCTGCAACCAATGAACATTCCTGCTCACTTTTTTCATCATTTCAAATTTCTGCCATAAGCCCTTAAGAGCAACAGGGACGGCCCTAATATGGGAAGGAGATTGTGCCCTGAACTTAGCGTGACCTTAAAGCCAGCATGACCTCTGCTTTCTGCCCTGCCAGTTTGCCATGCACGGTCAAGCTTTGGATTTCTTCAACTTCATCTCGTTTTCTTTTATCTAACACCGTTTTCCTCTTTTTAAGAGCATTCTGAAGGGCTTGGCAATTTGACGGAGGAATCCAGTCATTCATTCACTTTTCTTTAGGGCCGTCCACCTATCGTTATCTGTTTCTTGAGTAGGTCAGGAAGTAGATAGGGGGAGCTGGGAGGTTATAACCAATGCTATCAAGGAAGGGACTCATTTGCAGGGCAGAAACTCGATAGGAGTCTAAATTGGACTGACGAATATATAGCAGCTTTATCCAGAGGCCAACAGGTTATCAAGTACCTTCAAGTCCAGAGCTCTGCTTTATGCTGATAGCTCACTTACACACGCTCCAGTAAATCTTGGCAGTTGTGGAATACATGTGAATGAATTGCTCACTCGGTAATTTAGCTGTCCTGAAACATTATTGCGTTCGTGATGATTATCTAGTGCTTTTTCAACTTCTGTTGGCAGATTGTGGAGTCTGTTCTCTCATAAAATCTCCATCTGGAGGATTAGGGTGGGAGGCGAGGCAAGTCGAGGACAGCGGGGAGAATGGAGAACAGGAAAGAGGTGGATAAGTGAGGCTCATTGATAGTGTATACAGGTGGAGCAAATGTGAGGAGGCTAAAGAGATCCCAGCCCGTTTAATGCCTGTGGATTTGAACACGCATGCATCTCGGGAGTGAAACCAAACGCTTTTATGATCACATAAGAGTATAGTTTCTTTCTGAGGCTCTTCTACTGGGCCAATAGGCGTCATTTCATCTTCATATAATGCACTTTACTTTAATTGTAACCAAACGGTTCAAAGGCCAAAAGACAGTTTCAGTGCAAACTGCAAACTGTTCAAAGGGCTTTAAACGATTCCAGATGCTGAATAAGGGCTCATTTAAAAACAAAGTTTAAGTTTTATAAGCTCAAATGCTCGCCAAAAACTCTGAACTGCTCGAACTCTTTTTTCGAGTCATTTGGTTCATTCAACGAAGGAAATGAACGAATTGACTCGGAAAAAGATTTGTTCATTTTGATGAACGAGTTCGAACAGGAGAGAACAGAGCAAGGCGAGCATTTGAGCTTATAAAACTTAAACTTTGTTATTTATTTATTAAATGAGCGATCGTTTCACTTGATAAGACCCTTATTCATCGTCTGGAATCGTTTAAAGCCCTTTGAACAGTTTTCACTTTGTACTGAAACTGTCTTTTGGACCTTGAACCGTTTGGTCCCCATTGAAGTCCATTATGTGGAGAAAATCCTGGAATGTTTTCATCAAAAACCTTAATTTCTTTTTGACGGAAGACATGGACATCTTGGATGACATGGGGTTGAGTAAATTATCAGCAAGTTTTTTTTCTACTCCTTTAACTCGATACAGGCTATGAGTAACCCACTTCTAGCCAAAATAACCTTGAACTTGGTTTGCCAAAATAACTTGCGAGATGTATGCTATTCCATCAACAGTGATTACAAGGTGTTTGGTTTCATTTCTACACTCATTTCATTTCTTTGGATAATAGATGACTAGTCTATTCTTGGGCGACGGTCTATTGAATTTTCACTGACAGCCCAAATTTTGCCTTGTTTTAGCCTAGACATCTGGGCTGTGTTTGGACGCTTTAAACTGGGTACTGTCCTGTCATGTTATCTGCTCCCTTATGTCTGAAGCTCTAAGTCATGTATGCAACGGCACCTGTGCATCGTCATGAGCACTTGGTTCATGGTTTGGCAGGGTTGTTGGTTGTGAGAAGTAACATTTTCCTGACTGGAGCAATGGGAGGTTCTGGAATATGCTGGATGCCCAAAGGAAGGGTATAAAAGAGGAGGGAGGTGTAAAGCCAGGGGCAGCGTACGTGCCGCACAGCTTGAGACTGGTGCTGGAGGTGGAGACGAAAGGAACAGGATGCTGAGCCCTACAGGAATGCATACGCCCTGCCAGTGTGTGCATAACTCATCCCTCCCGCCCATGACCATGCCGGAGAGAGAGAGAAAGAAAAAAAGATGGACACTGAGAGGAAAGGATCAGGGAGGAACTGCATTTCACAGCATCTCTCGTAAAGGAAATGATCTCCGCAGATAAAGTTGCAGAGTTTTTTGCATCACAGTTTCTGGTTATCACAAGAATCAGGGCTGATCAACAGGCCACCAATGTGATTCATTGCATTTGGAAAAACAAAAAAAATATGCTGTGCAGGATGTTCCTGACACACTAAACACACAAAAAATAAATAATTTGGAAATGCACATCTGTGTAAATACAAACTCTTTAGTTTAGAGTCATAC